ACCCTGGGGCACGCCCATAGAAATGGGTGCTCCTGTAGACTCAGCTTGATTTATAACCACTTTCTGAATCCTAGCAGAAAGATAAGACTGTATCAGACTTAGTGAAATATTTGATACACCATAATGCTTCATTTTATTTAACAATGTTTCATGGCTAACGCAGTCAAACGCCTTAGATAAATCGCAAAAAATGCCAATAGCATCGTGCTTACTCTCCCATATATCAAAGATGTGTTTGAGAAGTGCAGTTCCAGCATCAGTAGTACTTTTGCCTCTAGTGAAACCAAACTGTTTTAAATGAAGTAGCTTATTTATAGAAAAGTGTGCTAGTAATTGGTTATAAATTATTTTCTCAAATACTTTACTTAGCGCTGGTAATACAGATATAGGCCTAAAATTGCTGGGATCTGATTTGTCACCAGCCTTAAAGAGAGGGATAACTTTAGCACATTTCATTAGATCTGGAAACACTCCCTCATCAATACATTTGTTAAATATAATGGCCAGTTGTGGCGCAATGACAGTGATAATCGGTTTTATTATATATGTTGATATTCCCCAATAATCCTCTGTCTTTTTAATTTTAATTGAATTAAAAGTTTTTATAATACAATCACTACTGATATGTCTAAAATGAAAATCATTACTGCACTTATCAACACTTGACTCAAGGAGGGTCATTGCTAACCTAGAACAAGAATTAAGATTTCTAGTTGTTTCAAATGGTGCACTAGAAAAGAAATTTTGAAAAGTGTTTGCAACGGCATCATCTGTCCTAATAATCTTATTGTCTATTTTTAAAGAATATGTGTGTTCATTAAATTTATTTCTTCCAGTTTCATTATTAATTATATTCCAAGTTGTCTTTATTTTATTATCGGAAAGACTAATTTTTTTAGATAAAAACTTAGACTTTGCTATGGCACACACCTTTTTAAAAGTTTTTGAATAGTTTTTGACATATTCTATAAACTTAGGATCAGATGAGGTTGCCTTGAGAGCATATAATTGATACAACTTATTTCTACTTTTGTAAATACCCGGTGTGGCCCAATCACTAAATTTCTTTTTAGAGCTATGGCATTTAATTAATTTGCGTTTAAATATTTTATTGAATTCATCTTTAATTAAATTGAATAAATCTTCATACAAAATATTATTATTATTACAAACTGGTAAGTTCGATATTTTGTGATAAACGTTATCTTGAAATTTATTTATACCCGTTTGTGTAATTGGTCTACAAGTTAGGTCATGTTTGGGTGAAGCATGATGGTGTTCAATAGAGGCTAATTGTCCACTATGATCAGAATTAATACAATTTATTATTGATTTATTAAAAACATTTCTATTACAAAAAATATTATCCAAACAGGTTGCTGATGCATGTGTGATGCGGGTAGGCTCAAAGAAGGTATGCTTCAAGTTATATGATCTAAATAAGTTTAGAAACCTACTCACTAATGGACACTTAACTAAAATGTTTATATTAAAATCACCACACACAACAACCACTTTATTACATTTACATACTATATTGAAAGCGTCTTCCATAGCGGACTCAAATTGAGTGTTATTCCCAGATGGGGGTCGATATACACATATTATGATCATTTCTTCCAGTTCCACGCAAGAAAGTTCAACATTACGTTCAACTGAAAGTGAAACAATATCTGCACGTTCTTTGTACTTAAGATTATTCTGTAAGATTATGAGAGAGCCTCCCCTGATAGCCGATTTCCTACAAAAACTACTAACAACTGTATAATTATCTAAGCCTGTAACTAATTCATAATTTCTGAGCCAGTGCTCTGTAATACATAAAATGTTTATATTCATTGTATTTAAAAATAAGCATAGTTCTAAGTCTTTACCAGAAAAGCCTTGTATATTTTGGTGAACAATATTTAGAAATTTAGACTTTTCCTTGGTCATGATATAGCTAGAGAGCTCCTCTGTTGTCTTACGAACTAATTTAAATTGCAATTAATGTCAGTATTTGGAACAAATTCCAAAGTCTGATCCACATAATTATGCTGCTCAATAGAAGCAGTAGTGTTAGCCAAGTTTTTGGCTATGTGTGTAAAATAAAATAATAGCGAAGAAGCTATTTGTCTCTTATGGTAATATGAAAGATAATATTTATCTCTTGTCATTTTAAAATTATATATTAATTTATTTATATCAATTAAATGTACTTTTTGACCACTATACTGAGACATGGTACTTAATGTCAAATTTAGCCTGTACCTAATATTATTTTCTTCACTTGATAGACTCTTACTATAAGGAAATGTATACATAACTATTCTATTTACATTTAGAGAACACAAAGAGTTATAGTAAGTCATAATGTCATTTTTGCCAACATTACCTCTGTTACCAATTAAAATAATTAAACTTGTTAAACTGAATCCACGGTGGATGGCATGGTTGCCCATTTTTAGCGTTTACTATTTGAGCTCTACGACAAACATGCCCCGACTAAATTACTTCGAGTAAAGCAAAACCACACTTTGCCCTGGGTGACAGATACAATCAGAGATATGATTAAGTTACGTAATCAGGCTCTGGCCAAGTATCGCTGTTCTAGATTGGAGGTGGATAAGAGACATTGGAAGGATCTCGGTAAATTGGTGCAGACTGCAATTCAAAAATGAAAAACGGGCGTATTTTAGTCACTATATTAATTCGCAGTTGGGCGAAAAACTATGTGGAACAATTGAAAGACCAAAATTTTGATGGATCCCTGTTTCAGTTCCAGTGCTCACATGCTGAATACATTTGATGATGCTAATGCAATTAATCTCCATTTTCTAAGTTTTCCTGCCTGTGATGGCGTACCACTTAATTTAATCTCTTTCTACCAGACCCGTCTTTCCCAGTGGGCACTTTGGGCAAGTGCCCAGGGCCCCGCGATTGATAGGGGCCCACCTCAGATCATAAATACAAAGTCCTTAGTTCCCGTTAGATTACCAAACGGGGGTCATAGGGGCCCCATTATCCTAATGTGCCCAGGGCCTCCAATAGGTCACTCTGGTGTAGTGGCGCACGTAGATGCACCGATCCCAGAGCGCCCTCATAAGGGCCGAGGAGGGTACCGGTGGTTTTTAGTGGGTAGGACCGGCGTTGTTCCACGCCGGGGAGTCCCACACACGTCGCGCGCCTGGCAAGCGCGCGGTATGGTGCGTAAATGCATTTTCCACCGTCAACAAAAGGGCCTCCAATAGGTCAAAGACGGCACTGCTTTCTACTAAAACAACCGTTACGCGGATTCAGAATTCTATTTACGTCCAGTGAGTTAAAAAGAAATCGGCGAAGCTATTATGACACTTAAGTCCAACGCGACAGGTAGTGACGCGCTGAGTAGGAATATGGTCTTATTGACTCTTCCTACTGCACTTCCAGCTCTTACGGACATTATAAACAGATCTCTCTACACTGGATTTTTTTCTACTCAATGGAAGGATGCAGCATGAAAGAAAGACTTGTTTATTTACAACTAATTAAAGGAGATTGCTCAGCTTCCATACATGTTTGGCCTAAAAACCAATAACCATGAAAAATTGTTTCCTAGATTCGAAATTATATATAAATTACCGTAGAAACGAATATTATCGACGGCCACTCCTGAGAGCTTCTATAAACCATATACACTGAATGATTTTGAGGTTATGTTTGCAAATAGGCACATAGGTATTAGAATAATAAAAACCAAATAACTTATATAGGAAAATAGGGCAATCAAGCCAAGTACCGATATTATGTATTAGATTCAGGTATATAGAGCATGTTAAATAACAGATAATTGCCTGTTTTTAAAATTAATGCACAAGAGTAAGTTTTAAAATCATGATTATGCCATTGCGACTTTCAGAAGCAATCTTGTTTCATTTGACAAGTGTCTAACACTAATTACACTAACAAAATGCATGTCAAGGAACTAGTACCTGCTTACCTATGTTATGAGAAACATGGAACTGTTATCATAATTTTATAAAAACCAATAGGATATTTTCTTAGTAATAATTAGGTTTATAATGGTAAAAGGTAATTCTAATGTAATAATATATTGCGTAGGTTCATGATAGTTCTGATCAATGTGTGAAATATGTATATTCCTGACATAGCTTAAATATTCTGATAAGGTAAATTAATGAAATAAAACAACTTAAGTACTTTTATGTTGCCTTTAATATTACATATCATCTACATTTTGAATTAAAATATCATCGAAATATTTTATCAATCTTTACAAGATAGATTTGTTTTGATGTTATATAAACAACCTCGATCAGTCTTTGTGAATGTTACTACACCCATAGCCAATAGAAATGATTCGTATGTTTTCCAATCCGGTAAAAATAGAAGTCCTTTTTTAAAATTAATATATTATTTAAAGGTGGCCGTTAAAATCTAATGACTGTAAAATAAAGTATAAATTACGCCAAGAATTACTGTATATGTCAATATTTTATTTGCATTTAGGCCAATTTGACCAATCTCCTTTGATGAAACAGGCAACATTTTGGTATCACTGCAATCCGGATTTCGTAAGGGCAGATGTACCGCAACTGCTCTTCTAGATGTGGTTGACAATATACTCACGGAATAGAATGCTGGCCATGGCAAAATACCTTGTTAGACTTTTCTCGCGCCTTCGATTGCATAAACACGCAACTGCTACTGTGGAAACTTAAATATTATGGTTTATCATCCCTGACTGTCAAATGGTTCCACAGTTATCTTTCCGATCGACGTCAGACGGTCAAACTAGTCAAGGAGAATGGAAAATTTTCGTTTTCGAGTTCTGAGCCCTTTACGCGTGGAGTGCCACAAGGCTCTATTCTTTTACCGCTGCTATTCATTATCTACTGTGCTGATCTGATCCACCAGATATGCCATTGCAAATACCACTGTTACGCGGACGATATTCAACTTTATATTTCTGCTCGGCCTGAGCAACAGCCTCATGGATGTTCCATGAGGCTGTTAAATTAATGAACCTCGATCTCGACGCAGTTGCAGATTGGGCCAAGCAGAATTATTTAAATCTCAACCATACTAAATCTAAGTTTATGGTGATCGGTTCCAAAGCACAAGTACATAAAATTCACTTGTTGAATCCTCAAGTATCCATCTCAGGTCAAGTTCTTGAGCACGTTGTTGAGGTTCGAAATCTAGATATCACTTTTGATGGTGAGCTGCGCTTTGAGTCGCATGCATTGGTACTGGTAAAAACTTGTATGTTTCGTTTGAGTGTTGTATAAGATTCGTAACTTGCTTTGTGAGGGCGTCCGGGTTACTCTATGTGAATCCCTAATACTCTCCAAGTTGAATTATGATGACGTAGTTATTGGTTCGCGATTGCTTTCGAGAACTCAGCGTATGGTACAACGCGTTCAGAACGCTTGTTACAGATTCTGCTTCAATGTCCTTCCGCGTAGTCATATCTCTCCATATTTAAATTCTGCATCTATACTTTACATGGAGTCTCGCAGGCAGATGCACCTCGCGTCTCTTGTGTTTGACATAATAAAGTATAAAACTCCGGAATACTTATTCAATAAACTTAAATTCTCGTCATACCAAGAGAATGCCCGAGTTACTCGTAAGCCTCTGGAGAGCACTATTCACAAAACTGCGGCTTTCCGTGGCAGCTTCCGCTTCCAGGCTACAAAATGTTGGAACGATTTGCCTCCTACCTGCGAAAGACCTATAAGAAAACTGGCTTCCAAAGTCTCTTTTAAAAAGCATATAAAAATATACTTTTTAGAAATCCAAAAATTAGACATCCCCAAGTTTTATGTGTGGCAGGGCAGGTAGCCACGTTTGCCCAACAGTTTCCGGATATTACTTGTGTATATACTTTAAATAAATCATGTATAATTATAGTTATTATATATATACTTGCTAGTACTTGCTCGATGCTTTGGATAGATTACAGCGGCGCGCGATCCGCAACATAGGCGATGAGGAGGTGACTAAACACCTTGAGCCTCTTCAATTACGCCGTGACGTGGCGTCACTAAGCGCGTTCTACCGTCTGTACCACGGCGAGTGTTCTGAGGAGTTATTCTCTTTCATCCTACCTTCTCCTTTCCTTCAGAGGACCACGCGCGCTGGCCTACATTGTCACCGTCTTACTGTGGCTACAATTCCAACGCGTACAAAGAAATTTGGTGACTCATTTCTTTGTCGCAGTCCCAGATCCCAGGTTGTAAGAGGGATTACAACCTGGGATCCTTTAAAAGAGGCGTGAAGAAGCAACATGCAGGCCGGCAGGGTGAGGATGGCTGGTGTGGCAGGTAAAACTGCTGTATCAGCTATCTTCACGTCTGGACTTCACCTTCACTTAACATCAGGTGGGGTGAAGTCATTTGTCGGACCTATCTATATATAAAAAAAAAATTATGATACCATCTAATTTTATCTCGGCAACAATCACTTCATTATTTGACTCTATACTGAAGTAAATATGTGCTTGTCTCAACTGCATTTCCATGGCTGTTTTCTCTTTTCTCCTTGCAAAATCTTTTAAATGTTTATTATTAATATAGCTAATCTAAGTAGATTAGCAAAAAACCGATTTTCAGCCATCACCTTTATGAGTAAGTACTCATAAAGGTGATGGCTGAAAATCGGTTTTTTACCTTAAAACTGGCAAATGTTAAGCCAAGCTTTGGCCTTTTGCTTTCTGCAGCATTCATATGGGTATTTTATAGCTGATTTCTTGTATCTTTTTTTTTATTGTATTACTCTGAAATGAATGTTGAAGAAAAAATTAAACTATCTATCTATCTAGTTTTCTCGATAAATCTATTTCCGCTTTTTTTGCCTTTTTGTCCGAAATGATTTTTGGGTATATTGTGGTTTTAGTTTTAGGCGACAGTATTCTGTATTTAATAAACGATTTAACAGATTGTTAAATAAATAATAAAGTAAAGGAATAACAAATAACACGACGAGTTGGATGGCACGAGTGGTTAGCGCATTCAGCTTGCGTTCTTGGATAGGATTGGATTAAATGGGTGACCAAAAACTTATTATCTTGAGCCCCTCAATGCTTCGAAAGGTACTTTAAGCCGTTGGCAATCGTTAGCACTTACCAAACCGCACTGGACGCGTGGCGGGTCACGGCCATGTCTCCCTATTACATCCATAGGGAAGGTCTGTGCCCCTGCAGTGGGACATTAATAGGCTAATGATGATGATGAACAAAAATATTACGAGAAAACATTTATTCGGAATTTTATACAATTTATGTTAATGTTCACAACTATAAGTGGTATGTTTTCAATGGGTAATTTAGTTATTTTCCCTTTGAGAATTCATTGGAATTCGTAGGTCACTTCAAAGTGCCGACTCCTTGATCGTTGATGTGGAGATAATAATTCAAGTACCTAATCATCTTATCATAATCAGAGTCGGATTAAAAGCTATTTACTATGCCATTCGTGAATCCAAGTCCATAATTAGACAAGCAATTCTGATTTTTAAAACCATCAGATTATTCAATTCGATATTTCAGTACGTCCTAACGAGAAAATATTCGTAGTCATTTCTAGCTACAATACTAAAAACAAAATATGAAAAATCGGCCAGGTGCGAGTAGCACACGCACACGAAGATATGCGTAGTTACGCAAAACTGTTTTTTTTGGTTTTTAGTTACTGGAGCCATGACTGACTACCCGTGCCATCTTAAAAATACAGCGATTATTTATTTTGTTAAAAACACCGAAATGAATCAAGTTTTGTGTCTAGGTGACCTTGTTGTCGCTGTGATCATAATAATACGGTTCATGAGATATGTATTGTTACTTTCTAGGGCGCTTTTTAACGAGACGGTTTCTACCCGGTCTGGTGCTGGCTAAGCTTATTCAGAAGCACGGTTTGTATGTTTGTAACGACCTCTAGCCGTTGCTGGCGCCGTTATCATTAACAAATCGCCATAGTGTCCCTTACCTAACTGACGACCGGACGTAGACACGGATTAAAACCGTGCCTGGACTCGGGTAGAAATCCAACTCGTTAATAATCGCCGTTGGAATTGGTATAGGGCTTCGCTGTCACACTTTAAATACGGAACCCAATAAAGAGAACGAAGTTAGTTGGTATTTCCTAACCCAATATCGAAACAACGGAAATATTGAAATGGAATTTTTAATTAGTTAGGTGCACTGCATGGTAGCGTCACAATGCTCAGGTCGGGACTTTTTTATTTTCTTTCACGATACATTCATTCGCTATAATTGGTTTAAATCTAGAACCAATAGTACGTTTTTTTTTTCTCAATTTTAGATTTGAATGCATCTTCACTGATGAAAAGAATACGAACATGAATTCGTATTTCAGTTGACGTTCTTATTAAAAGAAAAGAGGTCAAGATGTGTAAAAGTAAAAGAATCTTCATTCGAATCACGAGCTAATCCAGTTGCAAAGAAAATTTCACTAGAAAAAAATCCACACGGACCAGGCAGCAGACGGTACTAGAACCCGCACCCTCCACTATCCGGGCGGATGCACTGCTCATTATGCTTTCGCGGCCCTAATGGCAGTGTCGAATTTCTTCTAGTATCCTACATACAATGCTGGCGGCGGTGGCTAGCACTGGTAATTGCCGAGCGTCAGTAACTTTTACAAAGTCGTTGAGCAACACTGAAATGTCCTAGCAACCCGTGCGGCCATGCCTGTGGCTCCTTTCCGTGGTTAAGCCGGCAGATATTAAGCCGCAGTGAGCACCGCGGCTTGCCTGGCAGCAACGTCTGCGGCTAAGCCGGCGGCTGTGCCGCCGGCACTGTGTGTAGGAGCCGTTACGCTGCAAAGCAGCGCCATCTCTTCACGTTGTAGGTAACCCACAATGTCAAACGAATACCTTTACAATTATTAACCATTTTTAGTAGTTATATTATTTATTCCTTAAGCATTTAACTGCTAGATGATTAAAGCAGTAGCACATTTGATCAGTGCATACGTACGGATTCCGGAGGGTGCGGGTTTGAGTCCCGTCTGCTGCCTGGTCCACGTGGAATTTTTAATGTTGAAGAAGATTTTTTACATGTGTTAATTTCCTGGTGTTGTCAGTTTACATAGACTACAATATTTGCCTTTCAAATATTATCAAACATACATTACAATTACAGCATATGGAGTGTCCACTTGTTCTTAGTATATTGTTTTATTATACCATACTTTTTTAATACACCTTTTTGTGCTATTTCACAGAATGAATCTGTTAAATCGCATACAAAGGTTCCGTAGCATTGTGGTCTTTTATTTATCATTCGTCATAACGTTGCGTAAAAAAGTAACATTAAGTTGAATATCGTAAAGAATATTATACCCATATCATGAAAAAGTTTTGAATAGGAAAAAGGTCGTAGTCAGTTCTCACGCGTGAACTTGGCAAGCATCAGGTGTCCGGACGTTTCCCTTGGAGGGCGGCGCTTGTGCGGCCCGCCCGCCCAACCGGTATATAAGCCCGGGCCGTCCGTACTCGGGCCATAGCGCGCTGTACCCTGCAACCCTTAGCACCGCTCGCCTCTGCAACCAAAGGTCAGTATCACACGAAATTTGGAAACTTTATTTTTCACTTTAATTTAAGGTCTAATTTTTTAGACTTACTCCGGATCATGTAGGGAAACAAGAACGATAAGTGAGTTTATGTATGGAAAGCTATTGTATTTAGTAAAAAAATATAGATAAATATGGTGAACACGATTTCGTCATATCAAATTATAAATAATGTTATTTGCTTGAAGTAGAAACTGTTTGTAAAAACAAAAAGTTAAAGATTATGCTTAAATTATTTTTTTAATATCCAATCTATTTGAGCAGAAACTTGACGGAGTATAAAATAAATGCAATAAATTATTTTTAGGTCTTCTTTTTTCCGTAGAATTCTTCTTCTTCGTATTATTTTAAGCCTGTTCATAACAATTATATATTAACTAATTTGAAGTTAAAATTTTGTTTAAGTAATCAACTATTTTTTTATACCCTATTTAAAAGAAGTTTAATAAAAATCCGATCTGATTATAACTTGATTGCATCTTAATTTGAATATCATACATAAAACTATCCAATATAAAACCGTAACAAACTGTTACGTTGAAACAAAATAATCTTCTCTAAACTCTTCGTAACGAACCAAATGTTAAAAAACAAAGTCTATGAAAAACACATTCTCTACAATAAACATTATGTATCGGTATTTCTTGTATGCATACTTAAATGAAATGAAAATGCTATATTTTGATGTTCGATGTTCATTAAAATAATGTTTACATAACGATAGATAATAAAATACATTTAATATAAATTCCTTAAGCGCAGGTAGTTTACTGTAAAAAATATAATACAAATGGTTAAATATTCAATCTTTACCATAAAGTAATACAAGAACAAAATGTCAATTAATATTTGTATGATATTCCAACATTCATTCGTTGTTTATGGTTTAAAACAAAGTCTTACATTTTTATAGAATAACCTTCGAGGATATTTTAGAAAACATCTAAATTATATCATACTCCGTCTATTTGTCGATGTGATAATTATAGAGCATGCAAAATATATTGATAAAATCAAACTTTAAATTATTGACTGAAAGCGAGAGATCTAGTCTAATCTATGGCTTAAAATATTTCCAAAGCTTGCTCTGCTCTTTACTATCTTATAGAAATTGTATTTGTGAAATATTTAAAAATTATATTTTCATCTTATCTAAAAGGTTATGTTGGGTTACCTGCATAGCGCCACATACATCAAAAGAAATGACTAGTAAAACATAAAAAAAGGTTGCCCTTTAAGATGAATGGATAAACTTACAAAAGTATAAAAAATATAAAAGTGTAAACGGCAGACAGCGAAAAGGAATCAAAATTATTTTGGTTATTTAAATATATGTATTTGGGTGTTAAAGCTTTAACTCCAATGTGTTAAAGCAAACATCAATAAATTTCAAAAGATAGGGCGATGTCCCTCTAGTAAATTTTAATTTGGGAAATATGCAGGCGATTTTTTTGGTTTCTCTTTTTAGTAGTTTTGAATGTTAAAACACAAGCCTAAAGCACGCAATGAAAAATTTTAATAGCTAATGCGTCACCTCAATATCGTTGGATGGTTTATTTAGGAATGATATAAAGTTGGATGGGGGAGAAGAAAAGTAGATTATTTTTAGAAAAATATCTATTTAAGTATATTTAGAGCGTTGCGTTGGAACAAAAATAAATGGTAGATTTAGGATAGACGCAAAGCAAGAGGCAAAGACAGAAAACTAGTTTTAACGGGTTAATGCACGAACTTTATTTATTTATTGACGTTTCGCAGCCTTTTCAGGTCTGCATCGTCAGAATAATAAAATTTATGTTTTATTAACGGGATTTGTAGGGCATTAAAAATGTTTCGAAACTGAAAATCTTTTCAATAATTTAAAAACAAGAAGTGGTCGAAAAATGGTTCACAAATTTTTAAGCTATATAGCTTTTATTAACTGTACTGTGTGTTTGTTCATATTTAGCATATACTAAATACGAACAATGCAAGTTAATAAAAGCTTGTAAATATCAGCATCACTGGCTTTTGATGTAGGAAAAACTTGTGTTGTGTATTAGAATATAGTTAGTTCCAAAGAAGACAAAACAGATTGAGTCTAATTTATAATTAATGAGAAAAAAAAAACACAAAGCCCCCACAGAGTAATAATAATAATAATATTTCCGTTGAAAATACCTAGTAAATTCCTGATAACTCACACAGCTTGTCTATGGACACTATATTGTATACAAATAACAGCAAACAACCATGTCGTGAGAAATAATACTTTAAGCTCATCACATATGTGGAGGCCCTTATCGGGATTTGAACACAGGGCCTTTGGAGCTGCACTAACTAGTCAGCAATGTCTCCTCGATAGAAACAATTGGTATTGAATATTAAAACATAAGAAATGGACCATCCGTTAACATCAAACAGTAAATATTTATCGACCATGGCCATGTTCCTTTAAAGAAAACATATGCGATGAATATAAAAAAGTAATTGACGAATAGGATATATGTTGTTTGGTGTAGGTATAGACTTCGGCTGCGTGGTAAAAATTGTTTCCCATACAAAATTCCAACCCCTTTTCACCCCCTTGGGTTATTTCTAGGTTAAAAACTATTCTATGTCCTTCCCTGGGACTCAACTTATATCTATACCAAATTTCATCTGTAAAGGTTAAGCGGTTTAAGCATGAAGAGGTAACAGACAGACAGAAAGATAGGCAGATGGACAGACAGACACACAATGCGATACATTAAAATATTAGTATGGATGAATTATAATAAAGAAGATAATTTATTAATGATACGCGTTGATGTCTTTTTGATCAGTAACGTGATTATTTTAGTTTTTAATCGAATAAAATATGAATTTATCAGAATTTATCAATCTGGGATCTGCGTTTATCCCTCTACGTTTAAGCCAAGTTGCTCAAGTTTTAAGGTTAAAATTAAACACACCAGACTAGCAGCAGCAGTGCTATTTCGCGTGTGATTTGACATAAGAATACGAATTTGTATGATGTGATTTGAAATTAAAATACGAATTGCAAATCACATCATACAAATTCGTATTCTTAATAAGTAATTCTACAAAAGTAAGTTTGTTCTTACGGTTAGCACTATAGACTAGAGCCTTATGTGAAAAAGTTGCATTGTAAAAATGAAAGTAGATTACATCGATTACGTTCGTGTATTCAGTATATATTTGCCATTGTATTAATATGTCGTTTTCCTAGTGATAATTGGTAAATTATTAATTTTACAGTAGGTATTTTAAAAAAATGGATGACATTTTGCGTAAGTCGATGATGAATTTTAAAATCTGGCGCATCGGGCCACTTACAATTTTGTTATATTATTAACCGAAATAATGAAAATTATTATATTTATAATTTTAGGCATTTAACTTCTAGATGTTTAAATCTGAATCCCGTCTGAAACCTGGATCAAGAGGATTATTTTCTACTAAAATTTTCAATGAAAATCTGCTTAATTCCGTAGATATAAAGTATTTCTAAAACTATGTAGTTGAAGTGCTTATTGTTGTCAAATTTCAAGAGTTGATTTCTTCCATGGTCCTATTGGAGCATATGTTCATAGACGCTATATTACGTAACGTTAATAGCAAGCGATCCGTTTTAATTATTTCCACTTTTAAACACAGCCTTCGCGTATATATATAATAAATCGCAAAATCTAAGTAAGATTCAGGAAATCACCATGATATGTTAATCTTCACCAGGCCAGTGTCTGTTACATCAAAGTAAATTAACACTATACTCTCCAATTTCGAGATAGCTGAGAGACTAGCGCATTTTCTGAAGCTACTTAAAAACGTAGAAATTGCCAGTTTAGATATTTAATTTAAAGTTGAAAATTGAAATGATAACTCACTTAACATAAATTCTCAAATTAAGGTCAATTATTTAGTTACTTCCATTAAAGTTACGAGGCTGTTTATTTTATGCATAAATGCACAGTTTATAGAGATATAGAAACAAAACAAAATCGAAGAAATCTTCAATTTTTTTTAAACTGATGCGGTCACAATTTTGCAAAAAATCATAATAAAAACGTAACTCGGAAACTATGAAAAATCGTAGAACATACATAGGGGTGAATCAGACACCTTAAAAACAATTTTGGACATCACTTCTCTGACCATTCTGTATAATGATTATCCACTTTGATAATTACTGATATTAGCCGTTCATGGTAATTTAACTACTATAAGAGAACGTGAAACCAATACGCTACCGCAGAAATTAAAGAAAGACATCAATACCTCTCATATTTGAATATGGAGAATATAAAAAATAGGTACATAAAAAGGCTAAATAACTATTAAAAAATAATAAAGTACGTAAGTGAAACATATTTCGCCTTTAGCGGATTGCGTCTCCTTTTATTATTCATTACTTTTGCTTGTGAGTAAGAGGCCTCTGCGAGTTCAGATTAGGGTAGCGTACTATCATCAACATGAATAATAAGAAATCTTGTTTTATGGAAGTAAGGAAGTAATGTAAAAAGAATACTTAAAATAAGAATAAGGAATTCATAGTTTTCTTTGTTGTTTTCTTACAAGATTTTTTTCTAAAACAGATAATTTTGGCATTCTTGTTTTCCGAATCTGAATATCCTTGTATAGATTACAAAGTTATTACATAATCAAGTAGAAAGAGCATCTTCCAGAATTCTCTTAATATATGAAGTTATATATGTATGTCTTGGGGCTAGGTGGTTATACTACGAAGTTGTGCCAATGTTTCCTCTGATCTTCAGTAGTACATGTGCTTCGCCTATGTCTTTTGGGATTAAAAGGGTTTTAACGTTGTTGTACGTTATTAATTGTAATATGCTTAAGAACATCGAGCTTGATTGAAGTAGTAGGTATAATATTCAAAATCTTTAGCTTTTCTGTGTTTATTAGTTGATAGCACTAACCAACACAAAGATAATCCGTGATTCTGTTTGTGATGGTTGATCCGATGTTGAGATAAAGTCTCCGCTCCCGTAGATATCAAACGCGTAAGTCGTCGAACGAACAGTTTTCGTTTTCCTTTATTATTAAAAAAAGAAAACAGATTTAACTAATAAAAAAAGATCGTGAATTTCAAATCGTATTCTTCAGTTACGACATGTACATCAGGTTCATGTATTAATTTATTGTATGTCTCAAATAGTAAAACCGATTTGGCTATAAAATTTTATTTATCTGTATAAAAAGAAGCGAGGCGAACTGTTTACAGCGACATTTATGAGGAAGGATGCAATAACAGATATTGCTCTGAAAACGAACCAATATGCGCCTGTTGCGTTGCCGTAACTTAAACAAGAAAAAAATGATAAATTTAATTGCCATTAATTTAATTTAGTGGCTATTATTTTCTATCAATAAAATACTATAACCTTAAAGTTGCGTTTTATTTAAAGTACTGAGTTGTAAAACTTGCAACACTCATCCTGAAATAATTTAATTTGTATGTTTAATTATTTTCTGCCCGAACTTTTGAGTATGATAATGTTATTTTTTATTATTTTTTGTTGAAAAAACATTTATCATTAATTGAGTTTTTATTTCATGAAATAATTTTTGATGTTACGACTACGATGATGTTTTATTATGGATAATGATAGTGTGATTTAAATAAAAACATTTACTCGTGTATGTATAACTAAATGTTTGTGTAGGACACTATGATGCGTGGGGCTGGGGGAATGCTGGCGGTGACTGTTGCCGCATTGCTGGTTTGCTGCAATGCTGATTCACATCAGGTGAGTATCAGGAGCTCGATGGTGCAAGTGGTTAGCGCGTTTGGTTGCGATCGATGAAATTAAGCAACTTTCGCAGTGGTCGGTCATTGGATGAGTGACAAAAAATTTACTAACTTGACCTCGTCCGTGCTTCGGAAGGCACGTTAGGCCGTTTGTCTCAGCTGCATCTGCAGTCGTTAGCACCCACCAATCCGCACTGGGCCCGCGTGGTGGGTCATGGCCTAATCTCCCTATAGGGAAGGTCTGTGCCCCAACAGTGGGGACAATAATAGGCTGATGATGAAGCAGAGTATGAAGAAATTTGACATTCTCGAGAAGCCGATGATGTGACGTTAACCGAAAATGAGGAATGACTGAATAATGGGAGTGGCCTATGTCTAGCAGTGGACTGATGCGGACTGATGATGACCATGAGAAGCCGACGTACGGGGTCAAGAGGAAGACTGAAGTTCGGTTAGATCATGCCGCGTTGTTTAAAACATGTTAAATTTGACTATAGTTAATGATCACGTCAAATGCAAATAAAATAATAATGTCCCGCATACTGCATGGACCACGTGGGATTTTTATGGAGTAAAAATATTCTGTAAATATGTAAAATTGTAACGAATATCTATTTTTTTCGGTAGTATTTTAACTATAGTCAAATTTAACTATGTTTCAAACAACACGGCCTTAAAGAATGGATTGAGCGACACTCGTATAAAATTGACAAGTCTCTTTGAAGAAAGTAACGGCGACGGGGCATCAATGATATATGAAGTATTGGCCGCTCGATAGTTTGATCTCTCTTACACTTATTTGTCCAGTTTTTTAGGGTTCCTATTCCTGACAAGGAACCTTTATACATAGTTTCGTCATGTCCATTTGTCTGTCCGTCCGAGGTTATGCTTGAAGACTGTTGGTACTAGAGAGTTGTAATTTTGTGGAAGTATGTATAATTTTTTAGGATAGCTCCCCTACATGTAATGTTTGTTTAATTCAGGGATCCCTTTGTGAAATATTAAACTTTAGTGTTATTTTTTGTTCGAGTTCGATTTTTTTGTAGAGCCCCTAAACTATTAGCTTGAAAAATCTGAGAATAATGACGATAACAGTGCTTTTTAGAAACTTTTAGGAAAAACCATAACGGTTAATATATATCAGACTAAGAGTTAAAGTTGTTCAACTTATGTATTAATAATTTCTTACCTAATAAAAAATCATTTGAAGAACACATTAAAAGTAACTTAGATGAAGTTATTACTTATTTATAACGTATAAAACCTTACATTGCGCGTCGCACGACTGCCACTTGGCTGTTTTTTTTACAGTTGGACAGAGAACACTTAATCCATTCTTTGTGTCTAAGGGTTTAGATTGGAATGTAATAAAAATGATACCGATTTCATCGAAAGTAGGTAATAAAGAACGCAAAGAAATCTCTTAACTTACAAAAGAGCCAAAGTGAAGTTATCTACTATCTTTTGGTGCAGTTGTGTTTTTGACTGTGAATAAAGTTTGGGTAGGGACATGGAACAAGTGGTTTCATACTTAACGACAGGAGTGAGAGATTGCCATTTGTATGTGTTGCTATAATTGTTTGTAAATAAGGCACTATTAACACCAAAACTGGATATAATATACAAAGAAGTTACTTGTTCGAGGAACCAACACAGAAAGGACAACAGAACTTTGATTGTCAAGTTTATATTTCGGAGGTAAATTTACATAGAAAACTATTATGTACTAGCGGCTGCCCGCGACTTCGTCCGCGTTCTTTAGTTTTTAAGAGAATTCCTCAGCAACCTAACATTTTTTCGGGATAAAAAGTATCCTTCACTAACTACTTATTTGCGTACCAAATTTAATCCAAATCCGTTCAGTAGTTTTTGCGTGATTGAGTAACAAACGTACAAACATACAAACTTTCACATTTATAATATAAGTAGGATTTGTGTTCAGGGTTGTCATGCCTGCTTTACTTGTTGTATTTAGCTTAGGTAAAACACTAAGATTTGATAATAAAATAATTTAATTAATTTTCTGCAAATAGCGCGAAAATGCCGCCCAATATTAATTTAATTTATGAAATAATACAACTTTGATGAAGATAAGCATAAATCGAGAGATTACATGGATTAAATTAACAAACGAAGAGCAAAGTAAAGCTTGTTGTGACTTATACAGACTGATACAGGGAAAACTAATAAAACGTGGACATTTTGGCAAACTTATAAAGTACCTAGAGATGTGTTTGTAACATATTGTCGGATTCATTTCGTTCTCGTTTGGTCTAAATAAGGTTTTGGTTTAATAATATCTATGTTGTCTGCAAATGTTATACGAGTATGACTAAACACATATGTGTATGTGTTGAGTATAATATAATATTATTGTTTTAACGAATAAGTTGAAAAAAAATAAGATGCATTTGAAAGTTTTAAAAAATACTATAACATAGTTATACCTTTTTATTTGTTCTTTTTATACGTAGATACGTATAAAGTATTTGTGTAATAACAAAAATTAAATAGAATATAATATAATTTCAGTCGTTTCTCTTTGGAAATGTTCATTATGTCAGATCTTATTAAATAAATTAGAATTGAACTCATTCTATTTTGTTAATTAGGTTATGTTTAACAAAGTTGTAACACGCAGTATGTAGTAGGTAATCTAATGGAAAATGACAATCACCTTATCGTTGAACTCCTGAGCGAAAGTTCAAAGCTAATTATTATTTCACATAGAAGAAGTTTAAGTAGCTGCTGGTCATTTGCAAATTTGATTGCCTTTATTAAGCAAATTTGTGTAAGTTACGAACAATTATGTCTGATGTTTGACGAGGCTTCACAGAAGAAATTACTTTAGTCTTATGATTGAGCGATTATATCCAGTTTCTACAATTATGTAGTTCAGAAAAAAAATATTGTAAAATTGTGAATGCTATTTATTGATGTTTTTTGACTGTAATTATTTTGGTTAATCATTCCGGAATAGTTTTGAGTCAAAATCTTTACTTTTTTATGTTTAAAGGGTGGTAAACAACCATATGCCCCACCTGATGGTAAGCGGCTACCATAGCCTGTAGACGCTTGCGATACCAAAAATATCACTCGCACCGTTGCCTACCCTGACCCAATCCCCTACCCTGTGGAGCCCTACTTTTATACTTAGTGACAGAAACATAACACAACTCAAAGGAAGTGCTCATTTACTGTGATCTACTGTAGGGTGGAGGTTACTTCCCCAGGAGGGCGCTCCTATTCGAGCGGAAAATCCGCTATGCTCTACTTCTCATAAGGTTTCTTAATTTCAATATACTGATTCTTTTTTTTTTGTTTATTAGGAATCAGACAATGGCAGTGAGCATGCTGTGGAACACTACAACATCGGCTCCGGTGGTAAGTTTCCTTACATTCACGGAGTTTTATCATAAGACACATTGGTACGTTAAAATCACACCTTATTCACATTATCCATTTTTGCACATGACACCGACCTAAGTATGTTAACACTGGCAGTCATCATTTTCTTATTTCTAATACACATTAGGATGTTTACTTATCTTTAACCCTCATCACATCATTTTATAAATTTGTAAACACACGTTTTCTGCACTTAAAAAGTTAAAACATCGTTTTACAGAATCTCAATACCGTCACAATACTTACAGGCGTTTCACCCACTGCACCGCGTTTTACTTAAGGACTTTTGCACGATGGATCTTGACGTGGAGAAATTTATATTTGAAATTGAACAACGTCAGGCAATTAAAAACCATATTGATAAAATAATTGCAACATCCTGAATGACTTTGGCATTAACAGTTTATAAGTTTTTATGACGCGGGGTCGTGTCGTATAATGTCTCGCACGGAAGAAACGCGATTGGACGCGTTGCCACCCTGTGTTGTACAATGCCTCGCGCGGAGGAAACGCGACAGGACATACTGTCGCCCCGTGTCGAACAATGCCTCGCGCGGAGGAAACGCGATAGGACGCGCTGCCACCCCGTGTCGTACAATGCCTCGCGCGGAGGACACTCGATAGGACGCGCTGCCACCCCGTGTCGTACAATGTCTCGCGCGGAGGAAACGCGATAGGACGCGCTGCCATCCCGTGTCGTACAATGTCTCGCGCGGAGGAAACGCGATAGGACGCGCTGCCACCTCGTGTCGTACAATGCTAAGCGCGGACGAAACGTGATAGAACGCGCTGCCACCCCGTGTCGTACAATGCCTCGCGCGGAGGAAACGCGATAGCACGCGTTGCCACCCCGTGTCGTACAATGCCTCGCGCGGAGGAAACGCGATAGGACGCGCTGCCACCCCGTGTCGTACAATGCCTCACGCGGAGGAAACGCGATAGGACGCGCTGCCACCCCGTGTCGTACAATGTCTCGCGCGGAGGAAACGCGACAGGACACGCTGCCATCTCGTGTCGTACAATGCCTCGCACGGAGAAAACACAACAGGACGCGCTACCAGTGGGAGAATCGCCTTATTATCATCTCTTTTCACCTCACTCCACTCTACTTATTTATCTACCACTTATACACATTATATCCTATTAGACAATGCACAAAAACACGATCGTTGTTCGTCATGTTCTATACACATAATTATGTAGCTGTCACGATGTTCACAATATCTTTTTTTCACTAGTGGTGATGGGATTTGAGCACTTTCAGAATGTATCACAAGCACTGTGCACTATGCACCCGTATAACGTTCCTTGGTGAGTACCACTTTTATTATGCGAGTTGTAAATATTTATTTTGTCACAATAAAATGATCACAGCGTGCCCGATTGTTTCAGATCCAAAACATAAAGAAGAATATCAAGATTATTTGAGGTTTCTGCTAGCATATCTTAATGATATTGATCAACGCAATATTGACGATAGTGGCCTGATGGTCGACAACAATGTTTATGATGGTTTCGCTGGTAAAGATACCGGTGGCAGTGGTTTTTCCAATGTGTACCAGGGTAAACATGTTCTCGGTAAAACACTGAATAAATTCGGGGGTTATCACGTCCCTCCACAGTTTGGGAAAAGTGGTGGGGAAAGATATTCAAGATTCGTGGACTCTCTTGGTGGGGGTAACTTTGTTAGGAATTTGGACTCAACAGGAGATAATTACGCGAGAAACCTCGATTCCATCGGCGGAGGTATATTGGTCAAGAAGAATTTGGACCACATCGGGGGACCCAACTTAGTTAAGAGGATATTGGATTCGTTAGGCGGTGGTAATTTGGTGCGGAGAGCCTATGGAAGATACAACCGTGCACTGGATTCGATCGGAGGGGGAAATTTAGTATAGAATACTTAAAAAATAAATTGTTTCATCGAATACAACGATCTATAAATTTTTAATGTTTAAAAATGTTTCTTCTTATCCTACAATAGTTTTCGATGTTCACTTAGAATAAGTATGTTGGAATGTTTAAAATAAATTGAAAGCAATACTGATTGTGTTATTGTTTCTGTTAAGTTTCCTTTTTCGTGAGCGATTATATTAGTAAAGCAAGCTCTTAAAAAGAGGTAAGACGTGTTTATATATTTTTATACTAAATCAAACTATTTTGGCATACCGATTCTTCTCGAGTCAATATCTTTATCCTACTTTTCGTGTGATATGGAGTGTTGTTAAAAATAGGTAACAAGCTCGCAGATATGGACCATCCCGGAGGTAGTTTCACGAGGCAAGCACGAGAAGCCGGCCAGTACCGATTTGTACCATACCTAATGACACGGAGATTTGACTATGTCAGGTAAACTTTTGTTCCTAATTTTAAGCGATCGTTGCTATATTTGATGAAATGCAAAAATATTTCTTGAATACCGCTTAAGTTTATCATGTTGTTAAAAATCATGTCAATTTAAGTATACATCTTAATTATACTTTTTAGGGTTCCGTAGCCTAATGGCAAAAAACGGAACCCTTATGGATTCGTCATGTCTGTCTGCCTGTCCGCCCGTATGTCACAGCCACTTTTCCCGAAATTTTAAGAACTGTACTATTGAAACTTGATACGTAGATGTATTCTGTGAAGATTTTCACATAAAAATAGAAAAAAGACCCATACTTAAATTGAGACTTTTTTCATCAGACCCTTACGTGTGGAGTATCTATGGATAGGACTTCAAAAATAATATTGAGGTTACTAAAATCATTTTTTCTAAACAGGAGTTTGCGCGAGAGACACTTCCAAAGTGATAAAATGTCCCGCCCCCCACTGTAACTTCTAAAATAAGGGTATGATAACATTTAAAAAAAATATATGATGTACATTACTATGAAAACTTCCACTGAAAATTGGTTTGAACGAGATCTAGTAAGTAGTTTTTTTTAATACGTCATAAATCGTAAACCGTAATTTACCTTACATTCAATCAACTCAGATAAATAAAAAAACATTCAATTTCATAAACATAAACATAATCCATGAATCATAATGTATACTTATCAATAACTTAATTTAAAAAAAACACCGTTATTGAAACCAGTGGTGGGGCAAGACCTAAATTTGATGTGGGCAAGACAGTTTTCGCGAGGCCCTGTTCTGAGGCAACCTGAAGACGGATTTAATAAAATAATAAAAAAAAAGAAATTCGAAAAGAAATTTTAAGCAATGCATAAAAAATTTTGAGGCGCGAGGCCCCTTGTACCGCGATGCCGTAGGCGGTGGCCCACGTCGCCCACGCCTTACGCCGCCTCTGATTAAAACAACGATCAAAGTTACAACGAACTACAAGAACTTTTATATTAAGTAACTTGCTGCTACGGAACCCTTCATCAATAATGGGCGAGCCGACCCACACTTGGTCGCTTTTTTCATAGTTAATTTGAAAGTAGTACCTATTCCAAATTTTGCTGTACAATTTGCACCAGTGAGCATTAACTTTGTATTTTTTAAACTTAATAAGAACTTAAATAACAGAATGGTGAAAATTTTTTGAATTTCAGCAGTGCTATTCTTTAAAAATAAATCACTTTACACCTCTGAATCCACGGTGTGATTCAAAACCAGCACACGAATTTCAAATAAATTTCAAATCACATAGACGAATTCGCGGTGAAAAGTGAGTTTTTTTCTTACAGAATAGCACTGCACTTGTTATTTATTTAAAATGTCGTTGATGTTTACAGTCCATATGGTGGTAAACGCGACCCGTGGGCAATGAGCTACGACCGATATTACGGGGACGGCCTCCCGAAGCGTAATTTTGACGAGATCGACCGGTAAGTGAGCTCAAGGCTCAAGCTCATGAACATACATGCACATTAAAATTTACACTATAACTAACTTTACCTAACAGTACGTTGATTCTGTGAGATGCAATCTCACGATTTGTTCAGATTTATGACAATTGTCAAACATCTTTCACTGGCTACTTCAACTGTCTATCTAACATTTTGCCGTGTATGATGGGTGATGACGGGGTTTAGTAAACCAAATTATATTTAGCCCGTCAGTTACATTATCTAAAAAATATGACACATGACAATATATTTTTTTACCAATCAACCAAAAAATTACAAAGACAAAGTGTGTCAAAGTTTGCAAGTGGGGGCTCGTGACGTCACTTCTTTCGGGACGGGACGGGACGTCCTGTGACATTGCAAATCAATATATCTCTTATTATGTGAAAAAGGAAAAAAATGTGTTTAAACCTTTTTGATAATCTATCTGACAGATCAAGAAAAAAAGTTTATCATCATATATAATGTGTAAACTTGGAGCAATCGAATTCGGAAGAGAGATTTTCTTTTACAGAATCACCCTAGAGGCGTCAACGTGTTTTTTTTCCTAATATATTTTACATCACATATCTTTAGTTAAATTATACTAATAAACTATCAAAAAAAATAGGATAACTTTAGTTTGGCGCTACACCCTTATTTTGTATATATTACTCATACAACGTGGGTACTTGGTTTTAATAAAATTAAGGGGAACGTTGTAAGCTTATACTCGTACATTATACGTCCATGCTCGTACAAAGGAATTAAATAAAATAGCCAATCACCTGGAAGACTGGATTTGGTAAATGTATATTATTGCATACACGACAGTCCCCCTTACATACTACTATAATTATCGTGTGTTTTTCTCATTAAAAATAGTTGAACCTTATAACAGCTAAAACTAAAAGGCAATTTGGAAACCAGCGCTGGGTTAACCCCAGTTTTTTTTCTGGTGCCCATTGCTATACCATCCTTTTCATCCAGGTCATGGCAAAATACCTAATTGTTACGTTATATTAGTTGTACTTATTTTTCCGTGTCTGGATTTTTAAGTCACTGCATGATTAAATTCTGGCAATAAACAAATTTCAATTTTAATTATTGCATAAAAATATTTGGGGCCAAGACACTTTTGATGCGTATTTAAGAAATGAAAGGGATTTTAGAAGGAGCAAAAGTATTTAACTTAATTGGTTGTTTGTATGAAGGAGGGAATGAAACACGTGCAAGTGTTTTCAGAGGGACTTGTATCATAGAGCAATACGGCCGACGCGGCCAGGAGGGGAGCAAGTATATACAGCTTTTTCCTTTGTCTCATTGGGTATACAAAGGATACATGAGTGCACGATTTGGCATTGTGTTGTGTTATTGTTTATCTGCGAGTGTCGTTATTACAGTTTTGTTTTCTACGCATAAACGTTAAAGTGCATTAGTGTGCATTGCATTCTCCCTTCGCCAAAAATGGCAGAATGATTTGAATAGTATAACAACGTACAGACTGGACGTTTCTTTACTCCTGTGACAGCATTATGTCGATATGGCTCCTTCCTTCCGTGTTGCTCTATGACTTGTATAAATCGGAAGCACTTTCGATGACCTACATCCTCTCACCGTGTCAAAATATTCATAAATCAGAAATCAGAAATCAATATATCTTTATTCAAATTGGATGTATAGTACAACACTTTTGAATCGTCCAAACATTTTTTTTTCCCTACCACTCGTTATTGGACATATTTTTTAGCTGCGGAGAAAAACGAGCGAAAAAAACTCCACAACATTAAAAGCATAATGTAACAACATTTACAAATCATTATGTTGTTACAACGTCAATACAATCATGATTTATTTACTATAGAAAACCTGTTGAAATGATTGGAACAGTTCAAACCCAAGCATTTTTGTCTGTAATATAATCAGACACTTTGTAATAAGCTTTTTTAACAAGTGCTTTTTTTATACTATCTTTGAATTTATTTATGCTTAACTCTTGGATATTGCTTGGGACTTTATTGTATAAGCGAACACAAAGACCTTTAAATGAATTATTGATTTTGTGAAGCCTAGTAGCAGGTAAAGTTAGTTTATTTTTGTTTCTTGTATTAAGTGTGTGAACATCACTGTTTTTAAGAAACAAATTAATATTTTTTCTTACAAGTAATAAATTTTCGTAAATGTATTGTGATGCGACCGTCATTATACCAAATTCTTTAAACCTATCTCTTAAGGAATCCTTAACTTTAAGATTATAAATTGATCGAATAGCTCTCTTCTGCAGCACAAAAATAGTTTGAATGTCGGCGGCGTTTCCCCACAATAAAATTCCGTACGACATTACACTATGGAAATAACTAAAGTATACTAATCTGGCCGTATCTACATCCGTTAACTGGCGTATCTTCATTACGGCATATGCTGCAGAACTAAGTCTATTTGACAATTTATCAATATGTGGGCCCCATTGAAGCTTAGAATCTAAAGTAATCCCTAAGAATACTGTGGTGTCTACAAGGCCCATATTCCTATCCTTTACATTCACACTGGTTTTTACCTGTTTTACATTAGGTAATACAAATTTAATACATTTCGTTTTTCCTTCATTTAGTAATAAATTATTAACATTAAACCAGTGGACTACCTTAGAGATACAACTGTTCACGTCGTCAATAACTGTTTCCTTACGTTTGAGTTTAAATAAAAGTGATGTATCATCCGCGAACAATACTATCTCATGCTTATCTCTAACGTAGTAGGGTAAGTCATTAATATAAATTAAAAATAAGAAAGGACCAAGGATTGAGCCCTGCGGAACACCCATTTTAACCGGCGAACCCGCAGACTTATTGCCGTTAATGTCAACCCTCTGAATCCTATCCATCAGGTATGACGCAATAAGATCCAGATCAGTATCTCTAAATCCATAGTGGTGGAGTTTCCTGAGTAATGTTTCATGAAAAACGCAATCAAAAGCCTTGGACAAGTCGCAAAACACACCTAGAGCGTCCTGCGAGTTCTCCCAGGCGTCAAAAATTTGTTGTATAAGTTCAACACCGGCATCGGTTGTTGAACGACCCCGTGTAAAACCAAATTGTTTACAGTGAAGTATATTATATTTATTAAAATGTGATTGCATTTGATCTAACATGATTTTTTCGAAAATTTTACTAAAGGTGGGTAGCACAGAAATTGGTCTAAAGTTTGTGGGGTCTGATGTACTTCCCGTTTTATGCAAAGGAGTTATTTTACTGTATTTCATGAGGTCAGGAAAAACACCACAGTCAACACAATCATTAAATATGCAAGCTAGAATAGGAGCTATTGTCTCAATTACCGATTTAGAAACATCAACGGAATTGCCCCACAGATCCGTGGTTTTCTTTTTATTTAATTGGTGAAACGTTTTAATTACATCTTTGAAGTCAACATGTTTAAAATGAAAATGACTAGTACAAGGTTTCACGTTTTCTCTTAAGATTGATTCAGCAGCAATGGGGGAAGAGTTCAAAGATTTAGTAGTTGAAACTGGAATATCAGTAAAGAAATTTTCGAAAGCTGTAGCAACTTCAATATCTGAAGTAACCCTTTTATTATCAATATTTAAGTTATAATTATTATTGCGAGTTTTGGATTTTCCAGTTTCATCGTTTATAATATTCCATGTCGTTTTAATTTTGTCATTACTGTTCTTAATCTTTGAACTTAAGTAATTTGATTTTGCTAAGCGGCATACTTTTTTAAACAATTTAGAATAGTTACGAACATGCTCTTTAAATTTTTCACTAGTGTTACAGTTTCTTTCATTATAAAGTTCATAAAGTGTCCTTCTACTTTTATGAATTCCAGGCGTAGCCCACTTAGTAAAAGTTACCGCATCATTAATACAGATTTTTTTGGGTACAAAAACATTATTAAATTCAGTGCAGTATATATTAAAAAAATCATTATATAAATCATTTGGACTGTCTTTATATTTTAGATAACACATTTTTCTATCTAATTGAGTTTTAAAACGTTCCACACGATTAGCAGATTTTGGTACAACAGTCATGTGTTTTTTTGTCACCTGCTTGAGCTGATATGGAAATGTAATCAACTGGCCACAATGATCACTATCTAGTTTATTAATAATTTGTTTTTTCTGTGGTATGATATCTGTATATATATTATCAATACAAGTGGCCGAAGTGGCAGCTATTCTAGTAGGCTCAATGAATAAGTTTTTCAGATTGTATGATTGAAATAAATTTTTTATTTTAGTACTCGAACTAGATTTTTGTAATAAATCAATATTGAAGTCACCACAGACAATCAACCGTTTGCCTGTAGTGTAAGTTTTCTTAAGAGCTTCATCCATGATAGCTTCAAAACAATCATACAATGCTGATGGAGGTCTGTATACGCTCAATACAACAAGCCGGTCCAGTTCCACACAGGCAATTTCTATTGTTCGCTCAACCGAGAGGCTCACAATATCTCTTCGTTCCTTAAATTTTAATTTTTTATTCAATAATATTAAAGAGCCACCGCGAATTGCATTTTCTCGATTGAACAAACTACCAACCTGATGATTATTGAAATTAAATACATTCTGACAACTTTTAAGCCAGTGTTCTGTTATACAAAAAATATCTATATTATTACAATTCATGAATAATTCAATTTCTAAGTCCTTACCCATCATTCCTTGAATATTAAGATGCACCAGGTTGATAAAACTTACATTTTTTGCAATGTTTTTGGATGGGTTTTTTTTATCTATATTAACAAAACAATTATTTTTATTTACATTATTATTTAATGTGCAAGAAGAATTATCTTTTGTCTGATTGGTTAATTTAAATATTTATTATGATTTTGGGTGGTTTCAGTAGAATAATTACTGATTGTCATGTCAATAGAATATTGCTCAATAGGAGCAAGTTGTTTAGCCAAATTCTTGGCTGACATAAAAAAGAAATATGATAGCGACTTAGCTACCTGTCTTTTATTATAATTGGAAAGATAATATTTATCTTTCGTCAAATAAAAATTTCTAACATAATTGTTAGAGTCAATCAAATGATATTTATTGCTTTTACAAATTGTATACAAAAGCATATTTAATTTGTATCTTAACAAATTTTCCTCCTTTGGCAGACTGTTGCAGTAAGGCAATGTGAACAATACAATTTTTTTCACATTTAATGCATTTAAATCTGTCACATATTTTATTAATAACTTTTTATTCAAATTGCCTCTATTTCCTATAAAAAACAACAAGGTGTGGCATTTACTGTAGCTATGCTTACTTGCCTTTTCTAAAATATCATTATAAGAGGTACCAGGCATACAGTAATTTGTTATTGAATGTCCCATTTTAGATAAAAGAGGGCCCATATTCTTCCCAATTTCATCACTAAACATTATAATATTGTTATTTTTATTACCTAAAGATGCATTTCTTGAGTGAGTTACTTTCACTGGTGTCAAGTATGTACCAATTGGCTGATGTTGGGAATCAACAGATCTAGACTTTTGTTGTAAAGTGGAGGAGTCACAATTGAGCGATGATTGAGTTCCCAACTGTTTACAGTCACAAGTGTGATTGTTAGTTAATGAATTAAATCTTTCATTATTGTAATTACATAAATCAATTAACTCATTCATGGCCTGCATGTGTTCCTTCATTTCACATTGTGCTAATTCATATTTTTTGGTTACACTTGAGAGACAATCTTGCAGTTTATCTATTTTACTTTGTAAAATTTGAGTATCTGTTTCATATTTTAAACAAATGTTATTATATTTTGCAGAATAAATGTCCAATTTATCAATTAACTGTAATCTCTCCCTGTTTAATTTAACATTTTTTATAAAGAATTTTTGTTTTTTAATTAACTTTTGAGTTTTTTTAATATATCTATTAATTTTTACATATTTCTTTAATTTGTTTCTATTACATCCAACAACCCCCAATTTGTTATTTCTACTGTCATTACATGTAAGATCTATTGTTACAATTGGTTGGTTATTGGTTGCAGCAGAAACCATCTCTGGAGCACTGACTACCAACTCATCAAATAAGCTCTGATTCAACGAGGCAGTTATATTGTGTTTTGACGTTTCTAAAAGTGATATTTTATTATTTGCTTCATGTAGTTGTTTTTCCAGCATGTGAATACGCTGCAATGCTTGATCGTACTCACTTCTACATTGATCAAAGCCATCTACGATGAATTGGAGTCTGTCCCGAGCATCAATAGCATCAATGCACTGTTTGTGAAGTTCTGCCATTTCGCTCTTTAACTTTTGATTTTTGTCTAAAATATCTATTAATTCCCTCTCATTGTCATCGCGTTCCTTGTTTAGTTGGTTACATAAATCCTTAGAAGCTTTGAGTTCTCTCAAAGTCAGTTGAAATTTAGACTCCTCTTGACGAGACAAAGCCTTACGAGTCATCATTTTTATATAAGATTAATATTATCTTAGTTGAAATTTAATTAATGTATGTATTTAAATACAACAAGACTTATTTAACCAACAATAGCAAAGATATGTAGGTATTTTATAAAAAAAATATTACCAAAGTTTTTGACTATTTTATGCTTTACACACTTTACTAATATAGAATAAAGTAATAGTCAAGGTATATTAGAATCTAACTTGTAAAAATAACTTACTGAAATTAAGAAAATATCTTGAAAACAGATGACAATGATTCACAATAAAGCCGGTAACTGTCACAGGTTATTTTTACGTAATTTCACTCACTTTACAATCCTTTTATATATTAGCACTTAGTATTTAACTATTATTTAATGATATTATTGGTTTTAGAGCACAATTTCTTTAGATTTATAATTTTTAAGAATAAAATTAAAGGGACAGTTCAAAATCAGCTGTTTAGCCAGTGTTGCCAGAGGAGGAAAAACCTAAAACCTAAAATATTTACCGAGTCATCGTATGTTTGTCTACTTGATATTCTAAGTATTTGAATTTATTTTGTTTTCTTGTTATCGTTAAATACATAGTGGTTTTCCTAGCGCAGTAACTACATATATGAAAACAGAAATTATTATCTATTTTTTGATTTTTTATCATACATTTCGTACTCCGTCAGTAATGGGACTGATTGTGGCACGATTACTTAAATTTAAGACTAAAACAAAGTCTCTCCATTAAATTCCTTAAAATAATAGCCCCATCCAGCAAATCCTATTGTCAAAATTAGTTTTAGGTTTAGAAAATAATTCCAGAATAAGAGCCTAACTAGTAAAATTGTAATATTGCGTTGATACCGAATCTTGAATTTTTCTTTTCATAATCCTACTAACGTTTTTAATAACACAAGTTTCAAGACGTTAGTAGTCGAATTAATTAGCAGTATTTTTCCTTTCAATAACCTTTTAACAATTTAATAGTTCAGTTTACTCCATACGTTTACGATGAGTGGTAGTCCCTCACTCTTATAGGTACCATGTACACGAGGCCTGTGTTAGTTAGTAGGCTACTATTGTCATGAAGTCATCTAATGAATTCTGTACACTTAGCAAAAACCAATATCGAATTCGAATAGATGAATTCGAATTACTAATACGCGTCAAATGTCTAGTAGTTTTGTATGGAAGATTTTTAATTCTCGTTACGGCCGTTGTAGCGCTGTCCAAAATTCCATAAAAAACTTTTTGACCTTTGACGCGTATCGAGATCATATTCAAATATTTGAATTCGATATTGGTTCGTGCTAAGGGTACAGATCTTCGTACACTGGGCCGTTAACCTGTTAAGTACGCCATTTTCTTATTAAATTTCGAGAACACTGAAGCAATATACCTACTTACTTTTTAAATTTCAGTCACATATTATGTTACTATTAGATGTATTGGTACCACTTGTTGCAGCGTTATCTTAAACCGAATCATCGTAAAGTGGATCTCAAATTCTCTTTTAAAGTTGTTTATTATGAAGTTAAGTTAGTTTTTTTTTGTTGTCCCTAGATCAAACTTGGACACCTTCTTGCGGAAGAGGAACTTCGACGAAATAGACCAGACCTCGATGCCGTTCCCGTATGCAAAACGCTTCTATCGCCAGTATGAACGTCACTCGTTTGATTAAGTTTTTTTAATGTTAAAAGGGTGGTTAACAAGCTTATGGCCCAGCTGATGGTTAGCGGCCCCCATAGCCAAAAGACGCTTGCGATCCAAAAAATAATACTCGGGCCGTTGCCTACCCTGATACAATTCCTTTTTTTGTGACGCAGGCAAAACCTCTAAACAAAATTTAAAGACGACGGCGCATTTAAGAGGCTCACCACCGAACGGACCTCACACCTGGCTCCCGCAAGCGGACCCCTCTTTCCCAGTGGGCACTTTGGACAAGTGCCCAGGGCCCCGCGATCGATAGGGGTCCACTTCAGATCAAATACAAAGTCCCTAGTTACTGTTAGACCACCAAACGGGGGTCATAGGGGCCCCATTATCCTAATATGCTCATGACCTTCATTAGGTTAAGGACGGCATTTCCCGCAAGCCCTACGAGCCCCCGCAGTGGCTACCCACTGAGGACCCTGTAACTCTTACGGGCGCTTTACGGCATAATATCCGCTAAAAACCCTGCGAATACCCTCTAAGCCGCTTAGTACGAAACCGCGGGATCCCCGTTAGGGATTCTTCCGCATACCCCGTGGAGCTCTGGATCCTTACTGACCGACAGAAACATAATACAACCATTTCTTATTTTACTGTAGTCTTCTGTAATCGTAACTTCCCCAAAGGGACGCTCCTATTCGAGCGGCATATCCGCTATGCCCTACCACTCCTAGCCAGTGTAAGGGACTTGATGGAGCTAGTATTGCGGCGGACTTATCACTAGGAATACAAAATATATGGCGGTTAATGTAACAAGCGCAATACGATAGCGCCCAACAGTACTAGCGGTCACGTATGCACCCCCAGTACACTTTCTATAACAAGTCTCTAAGACGTGATACTCGCGACACGTCGAATTCAATGTTTGAGAAATACACAAGATCCCTGAGCAGACACAAGATGAACATATTTATGTAAGCACCAATTTGAAAAAAATAGTTTCGATATATAGTGATCGTCATCGTCATCCATCGTACCCTAGCTTACATAGGTTTTTAGGTTAGGTTATAGGTTTTTTTATTTTCATACAAAAATAGAAAAAACAAAAATTTGGGATAAAATGAAAAAATGGGGTATCTGTGGATAGGTCTTCTTATATCATTTATATTGAGGTTTCTATTATATTTTTTTTCCTAACTGAATAGTTTACGCGAGAGACACTTCCAAAATGGTAAAATGTGTCCGCTCACCCCCTGTAACTTCTAAAATAAGAGAATGATAAAACTAAAAAAATATGTGGATGTAGGTACATCACCATGTAAACTTCCACCGAGAATTGGTTTGAACGAGATCTAGTAAGTAGTTTTTTTAATACGTCATAAATCGTAAACCGCTACATACCTTTCGTTCAATCAACTCAACTATAAAAAAAAAACGACGGTTTGCACTCCGGCAGTGCCGGCAGAAGTGAAAACTTAAATATTAACGTTGTGCATTTTTGATATTTTGGAATGGTTAGGTAATAATTTGCACGATTCGCTTTAATTAACAGTATAAAAGTACTATCATTTATGTGGTATAATACAATATTTATTTCTTGCGCTATCGTACACAAACATGACAATTTATATTACATTAAAAAGTTTATCTCTCAGAAAAATTATCTTACATGAATCACATTTAAACGCACCTAGCGACATCTATTGTAAAAAAAACGACGGGTTGCACTCCGTGAGTGCCGGCAGAAGTGAAAACTTGAATATTAACGTTGTGCATTTTTGATATTTTGGAATGGTTAGGGAATAATTTTGCACGAATTTCTTTAATTATCAGTATAAAAGTACTATCATTCATGTGGTAGAATAAAAAAAATATTTATTGCGCTATCGTACACAAACATGACAATTTATATAACATTAAAAAAGTTTATCTCCCAGTAAAATCAACTTACATGAATCACGTTTAAGCGCACTTAGCGACATCTGTTGTAAAGAAACCAACTTACATGAATAACATTTAGGCGCACCTAGCGATGTTTAATGTAAAAAAAATGCATATTCTTCGCAATAAAGCTGCCGCGTGGACGTCCTAGATAGAGACTTATTATTATAATACGATAAAATAAAATATTACTATGTTTCGTCCAATATATTGAAAGTCAACAACCTTTCCAATTTTATTGTGTGTCATGATGCGATCAGCCCACGTGTTTAACCTGACGCGAGTTTAACATTTTTTACCCATCAAAAAAAGTGTACAACGCTGCTACGAGTAAAGAATTTTTCACTTCAAAAACATTTAACTTCATATACATCAACGTTATGCATTAACTGTGAACCATTATTTCCTCATAATAAATGTGTACTAGGTGCCTAAGTAAATGATAATTATAATTCGCGCGGGGCGTGGCTTGATCGGTAGCGGGTGCAGAGCGTGTAGGGGGCAGGTTTTATATTATGTTACTTTCTGCTACGGAACCCTTCATGGGCGAGCCCGACTCGCACTTGGCCGCTTTTTTAATAACGTAGAGTAGGACGTAATACGACGAAGTTCACGGTACAGCGAATGTGACTTTTATAGTTTGCCCTTAGCAGTGCTCTTCTGTAAGAATAAAATTAGAATACGAATTTCAAATCACACCGGCTAATTCCACCGAGAAACGTGAGTTTGTTCTTACAGAACAGCATTGCACTACTGTAATTGTAATACAATAGTATCAAAACTTATTATTTAATGTAGTTAATTTAGTATACAAAAAAAGCAGTAAGGAAATACAGTACGTACTATTGTTTTTTAATTTTTTTTAGCAATAAAAGTTTTTAATATGGGCTACAGATTTTAAGAGTTAGGAAAGTGAGAAATTTAATTTTTTTATGGTATTTTAAAACAATTTAATTCCTCCAGATCCAGTTTCGACAAGAAGAGGTACCGACCAGACTACCCCATGGATGAGATCGACCTGTCACAGTTCCCCATCGGCTCCAAAAGATCCCAAGATTTACTTCAGCCGCAACATTAATGCGATGAAAATGTTAACAAAAGCCTATTCGAACATCATGCATATAAACCAAATTCATCGCTTATATCTGACGCAAATCTGTCACCGTGTACATTATGATTACAAATTTCCTAAAAAATAATGTAAATTTACTTATTTTATCTACCATGAAGAAAATGTACATTACTACTTCTTTCATAGCGGTTCATCCAGTTTTTCTCATGAAACGTTGGTAAAATGTTATTAGCTATTTCAAATAAATTAATATTGATTAACGTTAGATGCGTGTGTAAGATAATTATTGTCATTTAGGAGAGAGAGGTTTTAATGTAAGTTATTGTTTTTATTAACATTGTCATGAAACTAATATTGGAACTTTTGAAATTGTACCTGTAAAAATATGAAAACGTTTTGTGACGCGTAGCGTTATCATTTCGAATTAGTAATAATGTGTATATTATATTTTAATAAAACATAATGATTCCCCTAAAATTTGTTTGATTATAAAAGAAATGCGTTAGTAATTATTATTATTATTATTTGCACTCCAACGATTCTTCTGTCAGGGTTTACTGGGCAACAAAATGTTCTGAAATGAACTGTATCCTTAGCACGAACCAATATCGAATTCGTATCGTTTGCCAGTACGAAATCTCTTTGCCAAATGTGTACTGATTTTTAATTCTCGTTACCTACGTTATGGCGCTGCTGTTCAAGTTTTCATACAAAATTTAACAATGACATTTGGGACTCGCAAACTTTTCGAATTCGATATTGGTTCTTGCTAAGGGTTACCGTACATAGTGACGTTTTAATTTTGCTATATGGTAGGTATTTTTTTATAAGTATTTGATTCATAAATCTGATTACAACGAATATAATAATAATAATAAGAAAACATTAACTGCTTTGCAACCTACTAGATGCAAGTACACCATGCATTTTTCGTAGTACCTATCGTATTAAGTTATGTTAATAGCACAAACAAATTAGACTCTTTACTAAAAAACTTTTAATTGATATATGTTCCTAAAAATGTTGATTTTAAACATTTTCAACAAATCAACTAAGTATATGAACAGCGGTGTCACTTTGGTGTGGTTTAGAAATTTACATTCAATTAAAAACAGACAAAATTTAAATTTAAAACAGCATCAAGGTGGCGTATAAGTGATGTTGCTGTTCCACTGTCGATATGGGTATTTTTATTTATTTATTTATTCACACAAAACAGAGTAGATACATTTTGGTGGTGATTTTCATTTAGTTCGTCCATTTTGAAAACGACAGGGCATGTGAATATCAAACTTAATTTAATTCTAAAATTTAAAGGTACTTATGTCATTTTACTTATTCTATTCTAAGTCAATTTTCGTTTCTAAATATTCTCTAACTGAGTAAAAACATTTCGTTAATAGCCACGTTTTAAGCTTCCTTTTAAATATAAGCAAACTAAGCTCCGTTATCAAGCGTGGTAAGTTATTGTAGATTTTTATACAATTCGGATAGCAGTTTTTATTGTAATATTGAGTACGCATATTGGGCAACATCAATCTACCACGATGTCTCGCTAATCTGCAGGTATCTGTGTTTTTAAATTTAAAATTATAAGGATGTGTCTTAACAAATATACAACATTCCAAAATATAAATAGAGGGAAGTGTAAGTAATTTTAATTTGGGAAATAGTTGCCTGCATGATGTCATTTGCGGGACATCGCATATAGCTCGGATGCATTGGTTTTGGGATATAAAAGCTCTGTTAATGTCCGTAGACTTCCCAACAAAAGACAAACTTAGACAAAAGTATACCGTATTGAAGATTGGATGCAACATATCCGTGATAAGCCATTAGAGCTGCGATGTGGTTTACAAGTCGATTTAACCGCCACAATGCATACGCAAACCTATTTATCTTATTACAGATTTTTTTTATGTGATTCTTCCATGAACACTGGTTATAAATCACCATTCCTAAAAAAATTTGTGAATTTGATTCCATGATAGGCTTGTCTTGTATACGTAATGTTATATCATTTGATTTCCGTTTTCTATTAAAAAATGTCATATACTTAGTTTTATTTATATTCAAATTTAAATTACTATGGAGTCAATTAGAAATATTATTTATAGTAATATTAATTTCATAATTATAGTTTAGGTCAGTTCTATTCGTAATAACTACAGAAATGTCGTCAGCGAATAAATTGCATTGGTGTGGGGTAATACTGGGTAAATCATTGATGTATATTATAAATAGCAAAGGTCCTAGTATAGTGCCTTGTGGGACACCTACATTATTAACAGCAATATTTGCTTTGCTCATATCAAAGAAAATAGCTGTTGCATCTACATTTTTGTCCACATTTTCAGTTATAGTTTTTATTAAGTTAAATACTGCAAGCGTAGTAGACTTGCCCTTGCCATTTTGTTCATGCTTAAGAATATTGTGTTTTTCCAAAAAATCATAGACTCGTATGCATTTGTTTTTTCGAATATTTTAGATAATATAGATGTTAATGCTATTGGTCTGTCATTATCCAATACCCGATGTTATCCTTTTTGTGGATAGGTTTTATGACAGATATCTTCAATATTTCCGGGAATTTACCCTCTCTAAACGATAAGTTTATTATGTATTATAGGTATGACAATATATCGGAAAGAATTAAGGCACAGTATTTTAAGACCTTAGTAGGGAATTCATCGTAACCAACAGATGTGGTGTTATTGAGAGATCTTATTATTTTGAATACTTCTTTCGCGGTAGATGGGTATAAATATATGGATTTATCTATTGATTTAATGTTATGGTTTAATGTCATTTTATTATTCTTAGGCTTCAAATTGCCATGAGATATCTTAATATTATTATTATATGTCAGAATTTTACAGGTATTGTAAATGTCAGAAGGATTGTCAATCATTATACAATACAATACAATACACAATACAAAATTCTTTATTGAAACACCACAGTACAGTACATAAATGGGGTAAATACATTATGTTTAAACAGTGATTCAATGGGCAGTCTTATCGCTAAAAGCGATTTCTTCCAGACAACCTTTGGATGGAGAGGATTGAATGAAATTGGAGTCGGTGGTTTTATAAAAGAAACAAAGGATATAAAAATGTATATAACTATATACATTAAATATATATACATACCATACATACACAATATATACACATAATATTACTATAAGATATATATATATATATATAATATAAATATATGACATATACATACATAGACTACACATATAAAAGTTTAATCCAGTCAGAAAAAAAAGCAATTGCAGTTACATCGACAAATAAAAAAAAAATATCATTATATTTAATTTTATTTATATATTTATTGTTTGTATCACATTTATCATAATATTTTATTAGATTCCATGTTGATTTGCAAATGTTCTTACTTTTCCTTAACTGTGTTTCACTATTTAATTTGTGTGATTTATCAAAGCATTTTTTGAGCATACTTTTATATTTGTTATATAACTTTTTATTATAATGATTTGGCTTTGTATAATATTTGAAGCGTCCGTTTTGTGGCACATGACTTCCTTATTTATTTGATTTATTGGTCCGTTTAATTTTTCTTACAGGGAAACATAACTTAAATAAAAGTGTTAACATTTCATGAAACTTTTCAAAAGCCTCATTTAAAGGTAAAACTGTACTTCCAGGGCCCAAGCGGAGATACTTGATTTTATTTTGTAGAAATGGTCTCCTTTAATAGTTTTTTTTGGCGCTTCGCCGGCTGCTGCCGCGGCACGCTCGCTTTGCTCCCTCGGCTCGCGCGTTATGGTCACAACACTAACCTAACCTAACCTAGTGTGAAGTATTACCGCTCGGGCCCTGGAAGTACAGTTTAGCCTCGATATGTACTTCATTGGCACTACAGATCAAAACCTGTATACCTATAAAAAAAAAACAAAACAAGTGCTCGTACTCGCCCTTGAGTTTTGAATTATTAGAATTAGAGAATTTGTACGGAACCCATACAAATTTGTAGGTACACAACATAAAGGGCCGTTTATCTTGTCCCGTTAACTTAGAAGTTTATTTTTTTCTCATCTTCAAGGGACCGTAGACTTAAGTTGGTGCAATGGTAAAATTTCAACTCGACACCTCTACGCGTTCCTGAGATAAAGGGTCTTGACAGACAGACAGACGGACAAACAAGTGATCCTTTTCCCGAGTTACCTCTATCCTTTTATCCTTTGAGTAGTGTTGCCTTTATCTCAGGATACAGGGTCTTGACAGACGGACAAACAAGTGATCCTATAAGGGTTCCGATTTTTACTTTTGTGGTACGGAACCCTAAAAATGATATACATTTATTCTAGAAACAATGACATATCAACTATCTTAGTTATTTACAAAGGTTTTTTCTTAGTAAAACAATTTTCAAAGCTTCAGTAATACCATGCTTTATTTATGAAAGTCCCCAAATAGATTTCTTGCCGTTCTGTTTCTCCAAATAGAAATAAAAAAATATTTTTCCGTTTTTTGTTTCGATTCATAAGATCAACTCCCTTTTTTCCTATTAGAGCTTAATCGCATTCTGTCTGAAAGTGCACTTAACGGCGTTATTCACAAGATTACGAAATTTTCTCCAGAACAAATTCTATCGATACATTTCGTTGCCTCAGTTTCAAGATTTTCCTTATTAATAACGCTGTTGTTGTGTTGCCATACTTAGTTAGGGTTCCGTACCCAAGGAGTTAAAACGGACCTAAGACTCCACTGTCCGTCTGTCTATCTGTCTGTCACCAGACTGTGTCCCAGGTACTTGGAATATTTACAGAATATTTAGTTGTATATTCACTTTCAATATGAACTATTTAAAAAAAAATCATCATCATCATCATCAGCCTATTAATGTCCCCACTGCTGGGGCACGGGCCTTCCCTATGGATGGAATAGAAAGATTGGGCCATGACCCACCACGCGGGCCCAGTGCGGATTGGTGGGCGCTAACGACTGCAGATGCAGCCGGGACCAACGGCT